TATAAAGTAAAGACTTCTCTAGAGAGTCTGAACAAGGATTTTTGAAACATTCACATTATTTTCAGAGTTACCACCAATTGAAATAATTATCTGCGTTTTTTTCTTAAAATTAATCCCCTCTGTTGTCGTAAAATATGGATATAAACCCACTTCTAAGTTATATATTTCAAAAATTCTAGTTGAGCCTCCGTAGAGAAGTCTGAGCTATATACAGGCAAAATATTATAATACAAGCATTTTTCACAAAAGGTGAATATTTTGAAAATGGGTCATTCTATGTTCATTTTTTGTCAAAATTTTGTACTTAAATAATTTTTTATTGTAATACTACTCTTAAAAAATTTTATATACATTTTCTAATCTAAGTGACACAAAATATCCATCTATCCGTAATTACCCGTGTACTTTAATTCAGCCAGCGGTGCGCAGTTAATTTCATATGTATATTGAAATCGATGTCTTGGCAAGTTTCATGCCAATGCAGGAAATAATCTGAAGTTCCAGGGTGCTAAATCAGGGAAGTAAGAAGGATGCGGTAAAAAAAGTTGTTTTCCTTTTCATAAGGTGACCATTTTTTTTTTTACAATGAAAAGGGGGACGAAAAATTCAAGAAAAAATTACAACTTAAATATATGAAACATTCTAACTAATTCAAACAAAAATACGATATAATTACGCTGACATTTTTTTTAAATTATTATCTTAAAAGAGTATTTTTCCATTGAATGAATTTTTTTTGTCAACATATTTTCTAATAAATCGAAAGAAATTCGGGCAAAAAATATCTTTCATACTGAATTTTACGGTAAGCACTCTGTAGCTAAAATATTAATATTCAATTTTGATTCCTCACTAGTCGCTTCACAAAAATCATTACCAATTGAAAAAACCTCTTTCAACTGCTGCATTAGTTTCAGGGCATCGCAACGTAAATTCAACAAGAATAATTACATTTTCATATGAAATGTGTTCATTTTTGAAATGGTTTAAGTAATTTCACCCATCTTTTACCAATTTCTCAGCATGTTGATTTTCCAATTGTTCTATTTATTAGAATTTAAATGAACATTCAGTCTTCTTTCTACTTCAAACAGACAATTGCCATCGATTTTAATATCAGGCATTTCTTTTGATAAAAACTCAACATAATTTTCTAAATCTGCCCACTTTACTTGAGATCAAGCCAAAAAATACCATTGAAAACTGTTATTTCCAGTGATATTTGTTTCAGGCCATTCTTCGAATAGTCTCAACGTAAGCTCATGCGTGTCATACAAGCGACTAAAATGAGCAGAAGTCTAACCCAGTGTTTCTTAAACTGTGGGGGCGCGATAACCTTACGAGGGGGGCGTGAGCATATCGAAAATAAAAGATTTAAAAATAATTACTTTACTGGAATGAATTAAAACAAAATACTTTCAGACATAATAAAAAATGCACTTTTACTCTGATATAATTTATAGGCGCGCGATATTAAGTCATCAAAAATAAAAACTTCCATACCTAATTAGCTATCTTTGATCCCATAACCAAGTAAAAAGACTTTTATTTGATTTGTTGTAATCCCATGATGAGAGATTTTTATTACGTTTTTTTTAAAACCTAACATACTACTCTTTCAGAGAAAAAACAGATCCCAGACCCAGAATCGAAAAAATTTAGGAGCATAAAAAATTCATCACTGTCATTATTTTTGAAATACTGCACATTATAGCTGTAATCTGTTTAACCTTCTAAGTTATTGGTACAGTTAGTTATGACCCCTCTCTAATGTGTTTGTTTCTCATTTAGGGAAGTTGTAAGTAATGTAATTCTCTATTGCGCATTTTTCCATGCAAAAGAGTTTTATGATATTTGGAAAACCACGGAGAGCACACTTTGAAGGATTACTTGGCCAAGACTTCCATGGGCTTGACTTGCAAAGCAAAATTTTTATAAGGAATGCTTATGATTAGAAATTGACCCTCTGAGTTCTTATTTCTATATTTAGCAGATATCTATATTTTGTCTTCTATGTAGACACCGCATTTTGCAATATATTCAATTTAAAAATCAGAGAAAGGAAAAATAACATAATAATTATCCTATTATTTTATTTATTTATTTGCTGAAAACTAGTATACAAAATTTAATACTTATGTTACTAATTTGTATGGTTTATAATTAAGATCACCTATTGTAGCTTTAGCGTCAAAGTGCATTATTATTGCATTTAGTACATTATTAATGTATTAGGGGGCGATAAAAATTGTGATCGAAAAGGGGGGCGCTAGTATTAAAAGTTTGAGAAGCACTGGTCTAACTTTAAGGGTTCTGGCAACCCTCAATTATCACAAGTGCACCTCTGCACTTTGTCATACACGACAACAACAACCATTTTTCGACATTTTGGAAACATGTTTGGTTCATCTCTGAATACAGAGATTAACAGATCAGTTTTAAAATATTGAAAAGGAGGACACTTTTCGAGGAAGGACAGAATCTATAAAAGGAGGACGATTGGTCACCTTACTTTTCACCCCGTCATTGTTTGAAGCATGCTCTTACGCAGAAAAATTACGCGGTGTGGGAAGTTTGTGACGTCCAGAGCATTCGTCGTCTTTGACACTTTCCCTGCCTTCTCTGAAGCGTCGATTTCACTCAAAATCTTGTGTTCAAGATAATGTATCACTGCTTTAAACATGCTTCACCATTTTGGAAGTCTCCGTCGCACTCTTTTCCAAGACAATGCAAAATTTGGTATTATTCTCCGTTAAACAAACACAATTTCTTTCAGTCGTCAACTACTGAAACTATCCACCTGCAAAATACGACTCCGTGGAGAGCCATCGACCACGTGAGTTGGGATAATTTTTCTTAGAAGAGGAGAAGAACGCAATAACACAGAAATGTTATCGTAGTTGCTCTATTGCAAAAAATTTCCATGTTACATACTCAATCCGGGAACTTTTGAATCCTACCTCGTACATACTTTAATATTTTAAGTGTCCCTTGTAAATTTGAGATTGAACTGTTATATGTATATATATGTCAAAATCTTCATTATACTACACTTAGTTCTGCCTTACACATTTGAGAAGTAGCTTTCATATTTCTGGACAACCCCTGAAAAATATAATTGTAGTATACAGATAATATATAAATACAAATTAATTTTTTCAATATATATATTCAAATACTTCTTAAAAAATATTTTTTTCTTTAAATAAAAAACAAAATGCGAATACTTTAATAATATTGTTTTTGATTAAGCATTTCAATAAATAGGTGTGAACAGCAAAATTTATTTGCCATGAATATATTTCACAAAACTTTTATATCTACGCACTACCCCCCCTCTCCCTGAATCACTCCATTATAAAGTTTTTGAAAATGAACTTTCCTAAAATCATTTATAGATACTATTTAATTTATTTAAAAAAAATTATCGGAAAAATGTATTCAAAACGATTGGGTATAAAAAGCTTTCTTTGGATTTTTTTTATTTAATTTTATATCAACATATTTGTTTAGACTTTGCAAAGAATAGCGGTAATTATATTTTAATATATTTCCTATTTTCTTTTGAATCACTTTTTCGTTTCCTTTTTTGTCGCCTCCAGTATTTTCATTACATAAAGTCAAATTTCTATCCAGTTTTCAAACGGATACAATTGAGTATTTACCGAAACCTTTTAAATTTTAAGAACGTTTTACGAATTGAAAAACATTATAGGGCGTTTTTCTATCTATTATAGTATTCTGATTTTCCAGCCCTGTTTTTATTACACCCAACTCTTTGTTTATACTGTCTTTTTTTAAGCGATTTTGAAATAACACGGCATAGGATTTTTTATATATATAAATATTTCGTTCTAACATGAATCTAAAAAATTTTGGGATTCTAGCCCTTATATATATATATAGGACAACAGTTCTCAAACTGTGGGGTGCGTCCACCCCAGCGGGCGTGATAATCCCACGGGGGGCATAGCGAAAAGTCTAAAATAAAAAAAAATTAATTTGTTGAAAGGAAGCAAAAAGAAAAAAAAATTCTGACATAATAAAAAAAAATTTACATTTACACTAATATAATATAAATGCATCAGAACTGTTCAATGTATCCGATAATTAATTTATCAATACTAAATTAGGAACATGTTACATAATTACTTGAGATGGAATGCGAAATACTTTTGTTTTCATTGCAGAAAACTCATCATCCACTCCTGCTTTTTTCTAAATTGCCGTTTGATTTCGACATATGTGAAATCTATGAAGATTTCTTCGGCAGTTGAGAGCCTTTCTGTATCAAAGCACCTGGGTACTTGGTATTTTTAATCCAGTTTTCAATAAACGTGCACGCTTGTTATCGAGTAGCGATGAATAGTTGTTAAATAGTACAGTTTTATTCCTAATTTCAATTTGAACTTTTATGTATTATACGTACTTAAGACTGAATTTTCACTGTACACTAATTTTAATTTATTTTGTAATAAAAATGAATTGTTTTTGTTTTCTAAATATCTAATTTTTAATTTTAATATTACTTTTTTTGCACGTTTTATTGGAAAAATATTAAAATTTTAAAAGTAGATTTAGAATATTTGGAAATAGGTTTTTCATCTTACGCGATTTTTTTAAAATTATGGAACATGTTCCCAAATTTACCATAGGTTGCATATATTTTTTTACACGATTCCTTTTTTGCACGGTTTTCTGAGGAACGTTTCTATCGTGTCAACAAGTAATATAAAAAAAAAATTAAGTCAGTTCTCTCTCCTACTTAGGTCAACAAAGAAAAAATTTATTTTAGTTACTTTTTATTAAATAATTACAATTAATATAAATATGAATAGCAATATTAAGTTGCAAAATAGAAAGCTATTTTCCCTGCAATTTTCCTTTCTATATAGGCTGTTGGACTATTATTTTGTTTGTTACTATTTATTCAATTATTGAATTTAATTATTCCAACAAAATAGCACAGCTAAAAGAGAGCACATTCTCAGAAATTAGGCCACCCCAGGTGAGATTCTAACTCACAAAATTTTGATTAGAAGTCCAACGAACTATCCATTGCTCTACAGGGACACAACGAGCGATTTTCATTTTTATATATGGTGTTGGACTATTATTTTTGTTACTATTTATTCATTAATTAAAAATTTTATGTATTAATATTTGAAAAAACTATATTAAGGTCAAGTGTCATCCACTACAAGTTTACAAAAATGTGTTTTAACTTGATTGTGTAAATATGTATTTTATCAATAAGGTGACCAGCCGTCCTCCTTTTATTGATTCTGGTCTTCCTCGAAAAGTGTCGTCCTTTTCAATATTTTAACACTGATCAGTTAATCTCTGTATTCAGAGATAAACCAAACGTTTTTCCAAAATGTCCAAGAATGATCTAAAACAATGATCACAGTAAATAACAGTTTTCATTGGTACTTTTTGTATTTGTCGCAAATAAATTAGGCATATATAGAAAATTACGTTGAGTTTTTATCGAAAGAAATGCCTGATATTAAAATCGATGACAATTGTCTGTTTGATGTAGAAAGAAAACTGAATGTATATTTAAATTCTAATAAATTAGAACAATTGGGAAATCAACATGATGGGAAATTGGTAAAAGATGGGTGAAATTACTTAAACCATTTCAAAAAGGAACACATTCCATATGAAAATATAATTCTTTTTGAGTTTACGTTGTGATAGATACCCTGGAAATAATGCAGCAGTTGAAAGAGGTTTTTTCGGTTGGTAATGATTTTTGTGAAGTGACTAATGAGAAATCAAAATTGAATGTTAATATTTTAGCTACAGTGCTTATCATAAAATTTAGTATGAAGGATATTTTTTTGCCCGAATTTTCCGATACATAAGAAAATGATATGTTGACCAAAAAATATTTATTCAATGGAAAAATACTCGTTTAAGATAAGAATTAAAAAGTATCTTAGCGTAATTAGCGTATTTTCTCTTGAAATAATAAAACGTTTCATATATTTGAGTCGTAATTTTTTCTTAAATTTTTCATCCTCCTTTTAATTGTAAAAAAACTGAACGACTGAAAATTTGAACAAGATATATAAATATATATATAAATATATACATATAGGGAGAGTGTGAACTAGTAGTAGAAATCGTGAAAAAAGTTTTGGGTGTATTCACAGGTAAGTTTATTCCAAAAGGGTCAAGCCGCGGCGAGAGTGTGAATAGTTCCGATCTAAACCTCTTTTAAATCGTTTAGCCAAACTGCAGTGGACATGGGAGAAAGATGAAAAGACGAGGCGAGGGTACGAACCGTTCCTATAGGAAGGAGGGGGGTGAGAGAACCCGACGAACCGGTTCTGGTGCAGAGGGGTCGCGTTCGACAGTTCGTAGCGTTCGCAACCAGCCCCCGAGATCCTATCAAAGCGAATATTTTTGCGCCACTTCTCCCAGCCATTATGCTGAAAAGCCGAGAAAAAGGGTTGCTACTTTTTGTTGTGTTTACGTTGTTATAAAAATGAGACATGGTGATTTATATTTCGCCAAACGTCGCCGTTTAACCAGCTTGTTTTGACGGACTCGGGAAAGATGGCATTGTCATAACAAAGGATTTTGCGGTTGTTATCATTTGATGGGTTTAGAAGGAACAATGACTTTCACTTTAGTTATGCTATTCTAATAGAAGAATTCTCTTAATTCAACCGTGTAATTTATGTTTAGTCTTCAGTTGTTGTTATTATATCATCAGAATTAATTTTGAGATGAATGCTTCTTAATACGATTTTTTTAACGTTAGTGTGTCGCATATCTGTGTGCTATGAATTATGTTAGAATACTTGCTGAATATATAGAAATGGAAAGCAAACTTTTAAATCTTGTTTAAATAAACATTGGACATTATTGGTTTTGTTAAATACCGCGTAATAGATATGTAAGAATCTATTTATATTAATTCGAGTGTATGTTATTTTTGGCTGGAGTCTTCTTTTTACGAAAGTTTATTTTCACAGCGAATTTTCTTAATGTTAGGATTTTGGACCTTTTTCTTGCAGTGTTTTTTTAAACATTTCATCTGGTTTGGTGTAATTCGTTGCTATTCTAGTTGTTTAATACTGTTCTTATAAAATATTTGGAAATGCTAAGGAAATGGTTATTTATAAAAATGATTTCAAAGAATGCTTAAAGAAACAACAACGAAGCGAAGTAATTAATTTTTATTTGTTTAGTTTTCATACCGTGAAAAGTTTGGAGTACTTTCTAAAAGAAAGCAATTTTGTTACTATGAAAATAAATTTTTATTTGTTTAGTTTTCATACCGTGAAAAGTTTAGAGTACTTTCTAAAAGAAAGCAATTTTGTTACTATGAAAATAAACAAAGTTACACTGATAAAACAGTATTTAATTTTAATTGCATTTATGTGTTAGTTTTTATTATATTTACATACATTTTTTATGCTTCAAAAGCAATATTTAAATAATTTATATAGAATCTACGCATATAATTGTGACGCCTTGTATGAAGCCGAAAAACTAACGAAAAGGTAAATATTTTTTTAACAAAAAATAAAAATTATTATTGTGATTTATATCTAACAATGAAGGAAGCCAAATGCACAGTTCATCAACTGATTTTACACTCATACACACACACAACTGTTTTTCTTTATTTTAAATGATTTATTCAGAAACATTTTAAAACACCATAAAAAATAAACATTTTATTTTGTTGGAAAGAAAAAAAAATAAAGTTAGTTTTTAGTAAATTTCTTTGAATTAATATCAAAACGATACTAATTTATTTAATAATCACCCCTTCCTTGTGTCCGTCACTGATACACCATTATTACTCGTTCAGTCAAAAGGTGTCAATCAGTCATGCCGGTTTGTGTGATTGTAAGTCATGCACATTTATTTGTTTCGGGTTATTGTTTATAAAGGGTGTTTTTTTTAGAGGTATAGAACTTTAAATTGCAATAAAACAACGATGTATTATTCGATTGACATGAATTTTTTTTTTTATTCGAAAGATAATCTTGTGGCATTACATTTTAAATATGATTTCTGGCATAGGACTGCCACGGCTGGCTCGGATGTAGTCCAATCTGGACGTTCAATTTTTGATGACTTTTTCCAACATTTGTGGCCGTATATAGGCAATAACACGGCGAATGTTGTCTTCCAAATGGTCAAGCGTTTGTGGCTTATCCGCATAGATCAATGACTTTACATAGCAATGACTTACACAAAATAGTCTAGCGGTGTTAAATCACAAGATCTTGGAGGCCAATTAACAGGTCCAAAACGGGAAATTAGGCGGTCACCAAACGTGTCTTTCAATAAATCGATTGTGGCACGAGCTGTGTGACATGTTGCGCCGTCTTGTTGGAACCACAGCTCCTGGACATCATGATTGTTCAATTCACGAATGAAAAAGTTAGTAATCATGGCTCTATACCGATCACCATTGACTGTAACGTTGTGGCCTTCATCGTTTTTGAAGAAGTACGGACCAATGATTCTATCAGCCCATAAAGCGCACCAAACAGTCAGTTTTTCTGGACGTAACGGTGTTTCGACATACACTTGTGGATTAGCTTCACTCCAAATGCGGCAGTTTTGTTTGTTGACGTAGCCATTCAACCAGAAGTGCGCTTCATCGCTAAACAAAATTCGCTGATGAAAATCGGGAACAACGGCAATCTCGTTTTGGGCCCATTCGACGAATCTACGCCTTGCTTGATGATCGTTTTGATGAATTGCCAAACTGAGAATAAATCACTTGACAGCTGTTAAATCGGTCGCCATCTTGGAAAGTAATGCCAACTTAAACTTCTATACCTGGAAAAAAAACACTCTTTACAAGTATTTGACAACGTTTTCTATGTACTGTCTACTTTTAAGAGTCACAGGTGGGCCTACATTTGTGTAGAGGCCCAGGAGTGACGCACACAAGGGGGGGTCCAGGAGGTCCGGACCCCCCCAAAGCCCTTGATTTTTTCCGATATTGATTATAATTCTAAGTACATAGTACGTAAAATTTAATTAAGTATTTGTTATTAATGACTAATTTTATTAATTAATGCTAATTATTTATTCAATAATTCGTTTTTTACTGTGTTTTGTTCCCGAAAATCGACACAATCAAAAGGAGCATGGTACAAGAATGGTGAACTTTCGACTCCGCCCCCCCCCTGAAAAATTCCGTCCACTGGGCCCAGGGCCTACTTTTGAATGGGGACCTAAGGCCTCAAGAAGTCTTAAGACGTCCCTGGACATAGCTCAAAGTGGTGAGGTATAATATTTATGCTAAAAATAGAATATCGGTGTATGGGAGGTGTTTGAAACTCCAAACCCCCCACTCCTCGATCCACCATTGAAATAATTAAATAACGGCTGCGGTAGTCGAGCGGTCAAATACGTCGTCCTTATGTAAGCGGGGTGTAAACGCTCGTAAATTAAGATGTAACTTAATTAAAATTGAATTAAAAGGGAATGTCAAATAATTTTTATGATACGTTTACAAATGTCCAAAACCCTTGTAGTAGTGGAAATTTTAGTAGTAGTGGTACTAGGCGAACTTTATTTTCTAATACAGTGAAATACGTTTAACGTGAAAACGTTTAAAACGAAATATGAGTTAACACGAAATAATGCAACAGTCCCGACAAACTACAATGTATTTTCATGCAGTTTTTTTCTCTTAACATGAAGCGGAAATCGCTTAAAACGAAAAGATTTATCTTCTAAAAATGAACGAAGTACGGAAAACACCAACTGGATTGGATTGTCCTACTATATTATCGGAAGAATTCGTTGTAGTAGATGATGATAATGTGTGTACAGCCCCATCTACAACAGACAAAGACATTTTGGAGTTTGTTCAAAGATAAAAAAATATCATTGATGCGTATTCCGACAGCTCCTGTTTCCACATCATCCGAAATGAGGAACATCATGATAAGTATGCGCAGTTATTGAGACGCATATTCCAATGGTGAAATTAATAGCAAAATGGACAATATGGAACAATTTATTGACAATTCGATATTAAAAAAAAACAATGCAAAGAAAAATATATCGGATTATTTTCCAAA